CCCCCCCCCCCTTTTACAACATTATGTAGTGTAGTACCGCATGTAGGAGGTAGGTGTGTGAGCGGGTTGCCTACTCGCTTGGGACTGTGACGGAAATAAGAGAGCCCAGCCTTCCACGCTCGCATGCGACACAGGGAAAGTACAAATTGATCGGGGGTAAGAGTATGAGGGATGCGCTTGGTCGCTCATCTGTCGCAAATCGCCATAACTTCTTAATCTCACTTCCGGACACTCTTCCCCAGATCGTCCTCGCGGAGGCTCTTCGCGGCCGTGACGCCGTGTCGCTCGGCTCGTCGTTCGGGGTGGCGTCCTCGCCCGTGGTGCTGCGCCCCGGCCAGATGCTGCTGCCGGGCTTCGTCGACGCTCACGTCCACGCCCCCCAGTTCCCCAACGCGGGCCTCGGGTACGACAAGACCCTCCTGGACTGGCTCCAGACCTACACCTTCCCGCTCGAGGCGCGCTACGTGGACCAGGATTTCGCAGCCCGAGTGTACGAGGCCGTCGTGGTAAGTGTGAGAGGGCGGACGGGGCCCTGGGGAAGGTTCGTGATGGAAATAAAGGATGTCGAAACGGTATCGAACCCATTTCCCGAACTGGAGGAGGAGGGAATTCCCACTGGGCGGTCTTACTGATCACCCTTCCCCCGCGCAGCGGCGCTGCCTCAGCGCGGGCACCACGCTGGCCTGTTACTTCGCCACCATCCACCCCGAGAGCTCGCTGCAGCTGGCGCGGAGCGTCGTGCGCGCCGGCCAGCGCGCCCTCATCGGCAAGGTCAACATGAACGTCAACAACCCGGCCGACTACAATGAGACCACGGAGCAGTCCGTCAACGACACCATCAGTTTCGTGGACAGGCTGCAGCAGCTGCAGGTGAGCGCGGGTGTCGTCCAGCAGGTGGCCACTACTGCTTGCAGAGTGTGCGGCGGTGACGTAACGGAGGTCGGCTAGCAAGCTGGACCGAAAATAAACAATTATTTGCATGTCCGTGTCGCAGAGCCCGCTAGTGCAAGCCGTCGTCACGCCCCGGTTTGCCATCAGCTGCGACATGGACCTCATGAAGAAGCTCGCCGACCTGGCGAGGTCCAGGAACCTACACATCCAGGTAAGTGGTGATCACGTCCCCGCAGACCTCGCGCACTCATCTCGTCTCGTATCGGCAGATTTTGTTTTTATCGGCTTGCCGCCACGATCACTCTTGGCGGTAGTCGAGACAATTAACTTCCAGTCGCCTTATTATCATACTCGCCCCGGGATGGATAATAGTAGTGTGTGTGATCCTCGCCGCATCTAGTCTGACAGCGACGTGCCGGGCCTGAGGGCGTCCTGCGTCCTCCGTCCTCGGCATGGCAGGTCCCTCATCCCTCGTTGCTTGCCCTTCGCTTCATGAGGACACTCGCGGCTCTTGTTGCAGACCCACATCTCGGAGAACATGGGTGAGATTGAAGCGGTGCGGGGGCTCTACCAGCAGTGCGCCAACTACGCAGAAGTGTACGACCGGGCGGGCCTGCTTACATCCAAAGTGAGTCAGCCGCGAGAAGAGCAGCGCGAGTCCAAGGTCACGGGCCGTGCACCGGCACCGGCAGCAGGCCACACTCCAGCAGCGCATCACATATCGGGGCTTGGTTAATCTCACCCGCTATTGACTCTGTCCGCAGACCGTCCTGGCTCACGGCGTGCACCTGCTCGAGGACGAGCTCCGCGTCCTGGCGGAGAGGGGGACGTCCGTGGCGCACTGCCCGACGTCCAACACGTGTTTGCGGAGTGGTCTGTGTGACGTGCGCAGGCTCCTGGATGCGGGAGTCACCGTCGGACTCGGAACAGGTACTTCACTGGCATGCAGCATGCAGGGAGGTCCACAGCACAGACCCCTTCCTTCATGTTGTTCATACTGAACCGCTTGCAGGCGTGCTGGTGGGTCGCATAGTCGCACGGCGCTGTAGGGAGCGTTGGTAGGCAAACCCGCACGCACGCATGCACACTATAGGCAAAATAAAGGAAGGGGGTCTGTGGACCACCCTGTATCTCGTACTCGTCGTCAGCCAGTTCAAATTGAGTCATAGCATAACACCATTCCATTGTCATGCACTGTCACCGAATCGTTTTCCTTTAGTTGTTTTGTCGTTATTATATTTTGTAAGATTTTGTAAACATTTGTTCTTCTGCTCTAGATGTATCCGGTGGTCCGAGTCCTAGTATTCTAGATGCCATCCGAGCAGCACTTGATACTTCTATTCATGTGTCATTCTCGAAGAAGAATTATAAACCATTAAACTACCAAGAGGTATTTTACCTTGCCACGATGGGAGGAGCCAAAGGTAAAATTTTCCAGGCCACCATTTTACTTTCAGTGGTTTTACAGTGGTCTTTTGGCAGCTAACTCTAACTGTTTGTTCTAGCTCTAGCCATGGATAACATTGTCGGGAACTTTGCGGTGGGTAAAGAATTTGACGCTTTGCTAGTGAGTGTACCAGATCCTGATCTTCATATTGAAACACTAGATAGTTTACAACAGCTTCAGAAATTTTTGTACTGTGGATCCGAAAGAAATATCAAAGAGGTTTATGTTCAGGGACGGTCAGTGAAAAAAGCATTTTAGAAAAGCAGTTTATGTGATGTAAGAACACCAATGATGAAGTACTTAAGAGACTGAGCAAAGATCATAATAGCTTAAGTGATAACTATTAACCTATAAATAAAAATTCGTAGCTTGGAAAATATGCCATAAATTGAAATAAGATCATAATTATTTTATGTAACATGATCACGATGTTTTCATATGCTCTTGTAAATTTAGAAACAAAACTAAGCCTTATTGATTAAGTTTTGATTTTTTTTGTGCTGTTCTTATAATTGGTACTCTGCCAGAGATGAGTGATGGATTGAAAGTAACATGACAAAATACTTCCATAGATTCAAAGTTTATTACTTGGGTATATCAACTACAATACAAATAAAAATTTACTACAGAAAACACTTAAAAGAAAATACATATGCATTTATTTATAAATCCACATTTACATTTCCAACCTATCTGTACAAAGAGAGAAAATTTAATTGAGTATCTGGTGCTTAGTTTGTACAACAAACAAAATCTGTCAAATTATAGAAGGACTAAGGTTAGCACCAAATGAAAACTTCAATGGACAAGGCAAGAAGACCTTTTTTAATTCTGCTTTATTTATTTAAGACAAGTTTCAAACTTCAAGTAGTGGTCGCTAAACATTTTAAGAATTAACTGATCAGGAAACAAAACTTCCTTCAATATTTAATTTGTACAAGGGGAAAGAAAACATTTTGAGGTAAAAACCCTCTTACAGCAGGTCAAAGTCCAGACAGGAAATGTAGTTATGATATTTAGTTCAATCCACCATAATTTACATGCCTACTTTCATGTCAATTCCTAGTAGCAAAGTTACACACAAGACATGAACATTTCATTTTGTCTTTGAAATGCCTTAAGATGATCAACCACAAGGTCAACAAACATGCACAAATTTATATTATTTACATTTACATCTTCACAAATATGAACAAACAATTTATGTAAATATGATACATAATGAAATTCAAACAAACTCCTCAGAATTGTAAAGAAATCTATTCTTTGATTTGGAATTAAAGAAAAGTCAATGCAATGAGAGCAGAAATTCCTAGTGCTTACTACATTGTGAAATAGTATCAGGACACAGCTTTTAAGTAACTACTAAAAAAAATAGAGATGGTAAAAAAAACTGAACAGTAAAGTAAAGACAACTTCTTATACCTTAAAATTAGCGCGAAATAATACCATCATCTATATGTGCACAGATTTGATGATAGAATAGTGGCTTAAGCTGTCAATCAAAAATGCCTTTCCACCATTTGTTCCCGTAGTCACCAGCACATGTAACTTCAGCAAATTAACAACCAAATTATACATAATATGTGAAGAAAGTCAATCCAATATTTAGTGATGAAGTGATTTCTACCTAGGTTGAGTCAAACCTAAAAGGCCTAACTTCAGAACTACAGCTAAAAATACAACCAATGAAATCATAAAACACCTTTTTTCACAACTCAGGAGAAAAGAACTCATAGTATTTAATGAGAGTAAGCCTCAGACATGTACACATATATACATGGTAACATAGGCAAGCCATTCAAATACACATCGCCACATAATCAAATGTACTCCACAGTAATTCTGAAGGTCACAATTACTCAATATGAATCTGAAAATACAAATGAAAAGTGGAATTCAAGCGTACCAAGCCTGTCAAATTTCCTGCTCAGACATGACATATTTTCAATCGCATTGAGTTACCATACCATATCCTATAAAAATATCCCTAACTGTTCCTGTCATATAGCGGAGTGATCAAGAGCCTGCTTTCTGTTGTTCCCTTAACAAAGACAATTATCTTACACAATAATGACTAATAAAACAACCTTTTGGGTAAACTAGAAAATATTTCATTAGCAGACTATTTGATAACCCCTTGCATAAAACTCAAAATACAAATTATAAGCAAATTCAGAAAATCAAAATTGAACACAATACACCAACAAATCTTTCCTGTAAAAGTCAAAGACAAATTAAGCAACAATAATATGGAAAAATAATCTACTAACGGAAAGTAAATTTATTGAAATATGGAAAAAAATTAGGATGTGTTAATTTCTTAAACAGATGTTTTAAATGACATATCATTGAAAGAGTATAAAACTAATTAACTACTAAATATCTGCGAAACCAAAACTCATAAATCTTAACCGCTCCGGCTGCCAAGAATTATGATTTCCCTTCCACAATGATCAGTTCTTCTACTCTGAATTCATCAGAGGCACACCTCTACACTTAACTTGCACCAGTCAGTCAGTAATCATAAAGATTACAAGATTTTAGTCTTACAAACTTAACCATCTAACAAAGGCATTGAGGCTCCCTCTGATGACTGTTCAAAGACACCATCAGTTGATAAGAATGGCTCACCCTCTGTGCAAGGCGTTTCAATAAATACATTCCCATCAGTTGGTGCTGCTGTACTAAATGTAGTGACATGCTGGACATCAGAGAATACAGTGCTTTGGATAGTAGCCGATGGAATAGGAAGAGAAGAGTATGATGATGTCGATATGGTGATGTCAGGTACTGTGATAGTGGAGGGTAAATCAACACATGCAGCTGCCCCAGATGTTGGTGGGGGCTGCAGTGTGCTGACTGCAGACAGATCTTCTAAAGGTGTCATAATGGGCTGATTTAACGTAAGCGATGTTTCTAGAACACCATGTGAGAGAGTAGGTTGATACACAGAACTACTAGCATGTGAAGAGAGTAGTCCTGAGGTATCAAGACCCAACTCTGCCCCAGATGTCTCCGACTGGAGAACTTGTGTATTTGCAAGTGCTTCAGCCAATATATCTTGACCTGAGCTAGGAGTAGAAAAAGTAAAATCTGAGGCTGCACTTGACACAGGTTGTCCCATATTGTCAAAAGTTAAAATAATATTCTGAAGATTTCCAGGATTTGCACCATCTAAATTAATGAGAGAACCTAATTGATTGTTGTCAATTAGGTACATCACCTGACCTCCATCTTCAGTGGGCACAGCAACGATTTGCTGAGTGGAAGTTGGAAGTGGCACTCCGCTACTTGTTTCTACAGATGGCACAAGTGTAGTTTGAATTTGTTCAAGTCCAGGAACACTTCCTGACACCACTTGAACAGTTCCTGGCATTGAAGAGCCAGGCATCGAATCCACAGCAGGTGGCTTTGCAGCCAGAGACACCTTCTTACTCATCTTCATTTGTGGTACAATGGGTTTCAAGGTAGGATTTGGTACAATTCCACTATTGCGTTTTAGTGGGGTTGTTGATGGTAGTACTACGGTTGAAGAGCTTGATGAAGCTATGGAAGCTTTAGGTAGCACAGTACTCTTTCTGGGTGATTTAGGAGAAGCTGTACCCTTAACTTGTTTGGCCACAACTGTCTTGATTTGTTTTTGAGGCCTGGGTGTCTTCGGAGCTCCAATAGGAGTCAACTGTGGTACAGGTTGTATCATGGTTGCAATTTTAGTCACTTTCACAGGCTGACTACCTTTGGGTGTTATAGGCTGAACTGTCTTGGGCGTAATTGGCTGCACAGTCTTAGATGTAATGGACTGAACACCTTTAGGCGAGATAGCTTGAATGGTCTTGGGTGAAATGGATTGCATAGTTTTGGGGACAATTGGCTGAATGGTCTTTGTTGAACCAGCAGTGCCAACTTTAGCTGGAGAGCTCTTCATTTGGAGAATAACTTTCTGACCAGTGCCACTAACAGCATTTAACAATTTCATATTCTTGGCCCCAACAGGTAAAATGAACTGTTTGGATCCACTAGTTGTTGTTACTCCAGATCCTGATGCTGCTATGCTGCTTACAGGGAGAAGAATTTGACCTCCTGATGTATTAAGTAAAATATTACCTTTTGATTGAGGGGATGTAATAATCTTGTACGTTTTTTTACTATCAGTTTTAACAAGAGCAGGCGGTTCAGTACTTAGTTCCATGCCACTAGCTCTAGAAGTAGAGGGTTTTGTTGAAACTAGTTTTGCAACTGATGAAAGAACAGTCCCCTTTGAGGTGACAATCTGTCCTGATGAGGTACCACTTGTCAAAAGCTTCTGCTGCTGAGTGGTCAACATTATCTTCTGTTGTCCAGATGCTCCTTTGGTTATAACCATAATCTTCTTCCCTGATCCAATATTGTTAAGAAGTTGCTGGGATGCCTCAGTAGGAAGGAGCATTTGTTGAGTTCCACCCTTCCCTTTAACTATCATAACTTTACGAGTTCCTGGAGTTCCAGGAGTTCCCACTTTACCCACAACCATTGGGGATGATCCTGGCGTCCCAGACACTGCTACTTTGATTGTCTTCACAGTACCAGATGAGCTAGAAGTTGTAGATGAAGGTGAGGAAGCTATTATTTTTCCTAAACCGCATGCTTCAGGCTGTAAATCAGGCTTGGACTGCACAATTACCGCATTAGAAGTGACAACTTTTTTCAGGACGGCACTCCCTTTGCCCACAGCAGTGAGAACTTTGCCAGCAGGACTTTTAATAGGTGAATTAGTAGAAACCACAATAGACTGTGAGGAAGGAGACACTTGAGGACTCTTGACTGTACTTTTTATGCTGGTAAGTGCAGGAGGACTTGGTAAATCAGTGGTTGTTCTAAGAGGGCTCTGAGGTGGGCTTTTGATTGTCTTCATTTCTGAAGCTTTTGGGCTCTTTGGGCTTAATAAAGCAGGTGGAGACAATGGCGGGCTCTTAGGACTAAGAAATCCCTGAGGACTTTTTGGTCCTTGATGACTTGGAGATTGGTACGGCTGAGGGCTCCTTGGACTCTTTGGACTTTGATGGAGAGGACTTTTGGGGCCTTGAGTGTCCGGGCTACGCACAGGGCTCTTGGAAACTATAGAAGCTAGTGCCTTGGGACTCTGCTGGATGGAAGGACTTTTTGAGCTCTGACGATTTGAAGGACTTTTCGGAGTTCGTTCTGGACTTTTGGGAGTTTGTTCTGCAGCTGGGCTCTTTGGGCTTCGATGAGGCTGTGGACTCTTTGCACCTTGAGCACCGGGCGGACTCTTTGGACCTGGGTAACGTGGTGGGCTCATAGCTTGAGGCGAAGGGCTCTTTGAGCCTCTAATTGGTGGAGGACTCTTTGAACTTAAATGATGTGATGGGCTCTTGGAGCTCTGAGGGGCAGGAGGACTCTTTGGACTTTTTAAAGGAGGAGGGCTTTTCATCCCTTTCCCACCTCTGCGCGCCCCACCACCTCTTTTGGGGGGGCGACCAACTCTGCGTGGAGTTGGTTGACCAGCATCCCGAGGTAAAACTGGTTGTTTGTGCACTCGAGGTGACTCTTCGACAGGAAATTCATCATCCATAACAACAGGCATGGTCATAATATCAAGTCTGCTCTCACCTTTATCAAGAGGAAGGAGTGAACGTCTTCTCTTCCGAGTGCTACCTCCGCTAACATAGGTATGATCTCCACCACCAGTTGATTGACCAGGCTTGCTTTCATTTTTAAGTGATTCATCACCAGAAAGTAATCTGTCCTCATTATGTTCGGGGCTTGTTATGGCCAGTTCAGGAACTGTTTCAACTGTAACCTTGGCTGTGATTTTTTCTTCATGAGCCTGAGGTGGATTTCCCGAGTCCACAGCCAAATCCACCTCAGGATCTGAGTTTTTTGACTTCTGTTCTTTTCCTTCTTCTTCTTTTGTAACTTCAGTTTCATTCTGCTCTTTCAAGATAGACTTAGAACTTGTTTCACCCTGACATTTATCCAATGTTGGGTTCAGCTCTTCATCAGTGTCCAAAGAGAAGGTGCTCGCTTTGGGAACAGAGGGAAGAGAAGGCATTGATGTTTCAGCCAATAAGGTTTCAAATTCGTCTTCATCCTCTTCAATCTTCTTGGTACCTTTACCTTTGTTGACCTTTTTATCGACAGCTCCCCGTTTTTTATCTTTTGAACTATCAATAACTCTCGGTATCCTCCTACCAAAACCTTTCACATTTGGAGTAAGGTCAAAGTCAATATTGTCGTCTTCATCTGGGTCAAACTCAAAAACTTCTTTCAATTTGGAAGCAGATGAAGCATCTTCAGCAAGTGATGATTCGTCTTTGGCACTTGCCATGTCATCATCGATAGAGGCATTCACGTCACTTGCATTGTCATCTTCATCATCCTGCCTCTTCTCAGAGTCGTCATCTTCTTGCTCAGCATCTTCTTCCCAATCTGCAAGTAAGGAGTCTAAGACTTTAGGTTTTTTGACAACCTCCTTGACTACTTCTGTGTTATCCTTTTCTTCTGGCTTTATTTTCCTTTTCCTTCCTGGCTTGCCCTTCTCCTTCTTTACAGGAGCGGGCTTCACAATTTCACTTTCTGATGAATCTCCTTCACTTTCCACAACTTTCACTTTCTCAACTTTGCTTTTAAATGATGCTCGTTTTTTAGGAAGAATGCTTGATTTCCCAGAGTCTGATTTTCTGTGCTCTGTTTTTAATTTCAAAAGAGGATTACGGAAAGAGCCACCTTTCAATATGCTTGGTGTAGGGAAAATATTCTTCGTTTTGAGAGAATGTGTATTGTTGAAGTGTAAGACTATAACATTTAAACGACCAGTCGCGTAGCCACACAATACACATTCATAAGACTTCTCCAACTGTAGGTCATCCTCACATTTTTGTTCCCTTATACGAACTTCATAATCAGATTTAGCATCAGGGTTTCGAACTTTGTTCAAGAACCGTCGGTGTGTGACCATTCTCGGTATGTCAGGAGATGGGTAGATAATATTTGCTGTTATTCCTCTACTCAGCCAGCCCATCGCTTGCAATTTGGATGTTAATTTTTTACGACGAGCTACTTTGTCTTTTAGTGGTGAATCTTCTTTACCCTTTTTCTTACCAAATTTCTTTTTCTCACTCCCAAAAAGAGAAGTGTACTTAGGCTTTTCTTCAGGTTTGAAGGCCTCATCTTGCAAAATGTTGGGGTCACCATGAGTTAACTCCTCAGCAGTTACAATGTCCATGGGGAAAAAGTCCATGGTAGCAGGCCGATCAGCTGTTTTCTTCCGACAAAGATCTATGGAAATACCAAGGTTTCATTCAATTAGTGTACTGATGAAAAATAGGGAGTTAAGACCTATATATTATGAGAGTACTTACCAAGACCTTTCTTGATGAATTCATGTTTTCTGCTACAGTTGTAATGGTAAATTAAGTCCAATTTATGAACATACTCACTGCAAAATAAAAGAATTATTTGATTAGCATTATGGCTAGTTTAAAATTATGCAGGAAACCTGTAAGATAATACTTACTAACTGTCTTCCTGGAAAAACTTAACAGTTGCAATGGGTCGTTTCCGAAGAGAACATGTGATTTCTTCAGGTAAGACATCATAGTCTTGCACAAGTCCCGGCCACCACAATGCTCGGAGCTTTACCCACACTACCTCCCCTGGAAGATATTGCACCTCCGTCTGGTCACACATTTTTTCTTAAAATAGTTGGATCCTAGACAGAAAAATAAATACATTTGGATATGTAAGTTTAAAATAAACGACCTCCTTCACAAGCAGAATGTTGGACAAAAATTAGCCATTTATCATTTAAGCTATTTAACATTGGAACATAAAAATGGAAGAGTGAAAAAGATATAAAAACACTGTTACTTCACGGATTTTATTTTAAAAAGAAGAAGAAGAAGAAAAGTCTATTTAGTTTTAAAATGTTAAAAACTTGCTGTGGATGATAAATTAGAGTGAGTGCATTAAATAAAAATTTGGACATCTTCACTCTAAAGAAGAAGAGCAGGAAGATTAATCAGGAACATAGAAAATGAACTGTGATAGGTCAAGAACAGACGACCAGGTGTAAACAAATGTCGTTTAGTTACATTCCTGCACGATCTTCCTCATCTTCTTCTATAGGGTGAAGTTGCCCATAGCTCAGTCCACAGGAGCAGGGACACATATTGAATATGATGCTTGCTAACTTTGTATAAACATTAATGCACTTCCACAGCTCTAATAAATTGACCTCCATCAAAGACTTAAAAAGTAACAGATCAATGAAATTACCTATTACTTAAGACCGAGGTAAGTTAACCTTAAAAGCTGACCGAAATGAAATGAATGACTGAAGACAGCCTTCAACCATCACTACCAGATGACGAAAAAAATTAAATTGGAAATGCACATGCCTACACATTCTTCCACAAATTCAAAACAGGAAACAACATCAATGTTCTCAGAAAAAATAAAGTATTTATAACTAAGTGTAAAATTGGTAAAAAATAAACTATTAATAAAAACAACCAACAAGTTTAATCCAAACTTACTTGGCAAAGGCAAATAAGTTTATTTTGAAACGTAATAGAATAGAGAAGAATAAAGATGAAAGTTTGATTTGAATGCACTTCTAGAATGTGGTTAAAATTCTATCAAATTTGAAAAAAATATACATCTAAATAAGATGTTATGAGCTACATAAACACAGTCTGCCGTCTATTTTGCAAGTGCTGTGGCCTACGCCATGCAACAACATCTTTCCCTCCTCAACTGATCTAAGCTTTGTAATGCAAGTTCTCTGTACTTAACACAAAATAGTGACTAGAATAAATCGCGAGAAATCAAAAACGAAAGGTATTCATGAAGAATATTCGAAATATCATACTTTACTTACATAATAATAAAAGAAATAACGATATTTGGAAAACCGCTGCGTTTCTTCAACCCCTCCACGACCCACAATGCAACTTGGGAAGCGTCAATGTGGTGGCAGTGGGAACGATATGTTTTTGCAGCCAATAGACCAATGTTCTGGTTTTGCAATTAAAGAAATTCAAAGGATTTCTAGGGGGAAAATAATATTTTTTTCTGGGGGGGGGGGTTGATTAGTGTTTCATCCACAGCAAACTCTTTTCCAAATTAAAATATGTTGAACATAATTTTACAAATAATCAAAAGTGAGGGGAGGAGGAAGGGGAAGGGGGTTGGTGGCTATATTTCTCATACTTTAAATCAGTTAAACGTGGCAACGCTGTCCTAACTCCACTGCTTCCCGCGAAAGTGCAAGATTTCACAGTAAAGTAAGAAACGCTTTATTTTAACTTATTGCAGATAATTACCTCTGCTTAGTGTCTTATGCGTATTGATACGGCGGTTCTAGTCTGTTTATAGTTCTAGTTCTCTTCCTCTCGACAACTCAATTGCGACGTTGCCATGTTGACCTCTTCCCTCTTCCGTTGGGTCACATCGTCTGCTAGGCTGATCTGATTCTGGATCGTGTCGTGAGAAAATTGCAGATTGCAGTGTCCGAAGCAGTTAAAAGGTAATTCAGCCGAGTTATCTCCTGAACCTACAAGGTAAGACTCTTGAAATATCTTACTCACGTATATATGGCGCTTTTACTTATCGGCAACACTTTGCGTTGCTGAATGTATAAATTCTATTGGATGTGTGTCGTCTTTAGTAATCTGGTATAGCAGTTGCTATTCAACTTGTTCAGTAATATTTAGATAATAGTTAATATCTAGATGCCTATCTCCATGTCTCAAAATTTTCAATAGATTTAATTATCTTTAAATATAACTCAATACCTCATATCTACTGGCCCATGAATCTGTCCCTTCATAACCTCAAAGCCCTCTACGGTCGACCTTGGTGTCAAACTACTGTTATTCCTACTCACTGTATATGTACGAGCTAACTGTATCATTAATTAAATTTTTCAAAATTACCTTGTTTCTCTAGCTGGAGCCCTGTTAACTCTTTATTATCTTCCATTTCAGATGTCTGCTGGCGCAGTTGCACGTTTGGCCAAGCCCAAACTTCGGGGCCATTTCAATGACCACCTTAACAAAACTTTCCTCTATTCCTCTCTCGGTGGTGCAATTTCCGCTGTTGGCTATTATTATCTAGTTCTGGTTAAACACAGCAACAGGAGAGACAAGATCATGGCGTAAGTATATTCAATGAACCTTCCTTTATTCGTGAAACATATATCATATTGGCCATTAATTATTTATTTTACCAACAGGGAGTCAAACCCCCAGAAAGAATTTGAGCGACTGCGGGATTTGGGCTTCTTCTGGAGTGTTCCCCCCAAGGATAAATCAAAGGCTCTGTACGACTGGACAAATGAGAAAGCAGATGATCTTAAGCGTTAAGAATTTTAAGCTGTTAGTAATCCATTCAAGTTATTGTTCTGCATTGTGTTTTCCCTCTTGTGCTCACATGCTGTATTGCAGATACCTGGAATTACTGTAGCTCTCACCAATTTGTCCAGCATATTTCAAATTTAATATAATAAAATAAATATTATTCTGATCACTTATCATGCTGAGTTGCCATAATATACCCATTAGCTATGAGCTCTGCTCTGACTGCTTCATGATCTAAATTCCTGGAGGACAAGAATGTTATAGCAGCTACATTATTTAAAATTTTAACTAAAATCGACTATGCCACTAATGGTCAAGCACATTTTATACCATAGATACTTTTTCACCTCCTCCATGCGGATATCCATACGCTTCTTTAAACCATATGCTACTGCTAGTGACACTGCACTTGCTATCTGAATTGTACGGACAAATTCTCTTTGGAACAATTTTTTCAGTTGAGGCTTACCCTGGAGAGCCATGATGAAATTAAAAGGGTGAGTTTCCATGGATACTCGATTAAAAGAACTATTGTTGAAGAAAGAAAAGAAACAATAAGTTGCACTGTGGAAATAAGCATTGCTTTGTTCAATTTATTTCATTCAACAGAAGATTAGAAAAAAATACAAAAGAACAATAAATATTTTTATTTTTATTGGTCATTACAAAAGAAGGTTCAAATTCCCTTCAGCCTGCTCAGATATCAACAGTTCTTGCACTGTTCTTTCTAACTTGTCCAAAAGGTTCAAAGCCTCTTGCCTTTTCTCACTTTCTGACATTGCCTGGATAAACATCTCCAACTTTATTATAGTAGGGATCACTTCACTTTTTGTTGGCATGGGAGGCACTATGTCTTGATCTTCATCAAGTACAATATCATGGTCCTGGTCTAAATCCACAGGCTGCTCATCATCTTCACCTTCCTTGCTACTAATTTCTGGTGATTCGTGGCAAAATATTTCTTCTGCAATTGTCGAAACATTCTTCACAAGGGAGGCGTCTACATTGTCGCTGGAACATTTAAACAATATTACTAGCTTCTGGATTTCATCCAATAGTTTATTATTGATTTCTTGACACTGTGTATCTCGCTCAGTTGCAATTGCCTTGCATAAAAAACTAAGTTCAATTAATTTAGATGAAACTTGCTTCCAAGCAGATTGTACTATTTTCATTACTTTTGACATTGGCAAGGATTTTACCTTATGCCCTAATGAATTCCACTGATCAAGACTAGAGGCTGCGAGTGAAGTCATTAGTCTGAGGCAGTATAAAAGTCTGTAATTATTAATGACCTCTTGAACATTAAAATTCCATGGACTTTGTCGAATTTCAATATTAGACATGGTCTTGTCTATGTTAGATGGAAATTGGTTTTCATCCAGATATAATAGAATTTTTCGATTAGATTGATGCATCTTTTCATTGAATACGTCAAGTGAATGTTGATAAACTTCAGGTGTGACTTGTCCCATTGGACTTGAGAAGCATGGTACATTGACATTCCACAATTCTCCCTCCACACAAGCGTTTTCACAGAAAACAAGTCCGATAATATCCTTGTCTCCAGAGGCACTAACACAAAAGCATGTGGTTACATGATCCTGGCTTTTTTGTCCTATGCACGGAAGGGTACGATGATATAGTTCTGCAATGCCAATATAATACACATCACATTTTTCATATCCCGATAACAAAGGATCAGCAGGTTCATCTTGGACATCACCTGAAGAGCTGTCAACTTCAAAGAGTGAAGGGAGATTTACATTGAACTCATTCTTAAACTTTTCTAGCCATTCATAGTCAACATCGAAGTTACTCATGTTAAGAGATTGGGCAACTTGCTTTGCTCTCTCCAAAAGCATACTCGGAGTAATGTCAATTTCATGAATAGTGGCTTTCTTGTAGAAATCCCACACCAGACTGTTGATTTCTGATAATGATGGAGCACCCCGAACCCTGGCCCAGCCTCCTCCTTTTCGAGTCCGTTCCCATTTAGAGAGCCAAAGATCCTTTTGAGTCACTAGTAAATGAACCTGAGTCTTGCCACAGTTGTACTGGGAGGCAAGAGTACGTTGAGAATAGCCCATTTCGGCAGCCCGAATGATTTGAACTTTCTGGTCGAGGGAAAGCTTCCCATACTTTCGCTTCTTTCTGACATACGATCCAGATGTCTTGTTTTCCATTTTGTTAGTGAGAAGCATAACCTCTTCTCTTATGATTTCGTTCTATGCAGCGACAGATGCAAATGTCATTGCGGCAGCAAAAAGTGGGACTTTTCGATCTGCAATTATAGAAGGAATACAAACTACAATTAACGGTGAAATCAGACAAGAAAGGCTGCACAAGGTTGCAAAAGCATTTACCCGGTTTATCAACCGCTCCTGTTTGTTGTAGCAGTAGCTACAATACATGCAGACAGCCAAATGTTTTTAACTAGATAGAAGGGTACAAAACTTGAATGTGACAATTACCGTCGAGTAAAAGACTGCCATACACAGCCGAAATCAAGGGTATCTTCGCATCATCATCGCTTATAATCACGCATGTGGCTTTAGGGCAGCTTTCTATTCCACAAATGATGTGCACTCGCCCGTGTTTTGGATTTTGCTGACAACAAATATTGCGGAGTAATACGTCGGCCGCATATTCATTCATTAAGCATACATTTCCCCTTTGTTTTCCACTTTCCCAATACGTATAATTTATTCAACCAAAAATGTACTGATGTAGAAAATGAACATAATAATTTGGGGCAGTCGTAAATTTTCTCGGAAAAGGGAAGCTGAACCCAATTGTACCAGCAATACAAACGTTTCAGTTTGCACTATTTCTTGCAGCGCCTCGGTATATCCATTCCATTCCCGTCGTCTCCATAGCTTGGGCCAACATGTCGGATATGGGAAGTGTCGTCTAGTAATGTGCCTGTTGTTATTTTGCGTTGAGGAATGTTCTGAAGTGCAACTAATGAAACGTTCTGAGATCGGACGTACGCCGTCACAAAATATCATTTGGATGAACAATCAATGTAGATATGACGTCTATGCCCCTCTTTTCTCACCCAGTTGTGAAACGGCTATTGGGCTGGAAGAAAGGCGAGGGTGAGGATCAGTACTGTGAAAAAGCTGTCAAAAGTCTTGTGAAGAAGCTCAAGAAGGGTGGAGGCTTGGAGGAGCTTGAAAAAGCAATCAGTACACAAGATCCCACCACCAAGTGCATTCTTTTTCCGAGGTATGTATACTATTTGGTTAGCCGGGCCGGTAGGGACATCGGTGCTTGCTTCAGCTCTCCTACCAGGGTAGGGGGGGAGATGGGACCCCGGGAACCGTGGATGTTTTCTTGAGGCAAATATGTATTATTGCTTGTGGTAATATCGGTTCTGAAAAAAAATTCGTGCGTTGTAACACTTTGAAGAAAACCCATAGGCATGCCAAATTTCTCAGCTTTGTTCACTTGTCAATACCTTTCCACTTTTCCATATTTTAAAAAAGTTATTTGCGATTTATATTTTACGTATTAATCTGAGGAGCAAATTGTAGTGTATTACAAGTGAATTAATTTTCTTCCTATGCGTCTGCACTGTGTTTAACACTTACTGCTGCTTGTTTATTTTAAAGCCTTCAAATGTTTAAGTACTTTATTTATTTTTGTCTAGTTTCCGAGCTGATCGGCCAGGGGACGCAGGAACCAGGTATAACCACTTGAATTGTATTGTCAAATTTATAGGATTGTAACATATTTCTACTACATATTGTTATTTTATTCTTTTACCATAGTCGCCTACAGCCTCATCGGAAAGGTCTCCCTCACGTAATTTACTGTCGTCTGTGGCGCTGGCCTGATTTACAATCCCACCACGAATTGCGCTCTATAGAATCTTGTCAGTTTGCCTTTAACTTGAAGAGAGACGACGTTTGTGTCAATCCATACCATTATCAGCGCATTGAAAGTCCAGGTATGTCTACATTTTTCGATCAACCTCTTGTTACATTAAAATTTTTGAGTCTTTTCACTTTTTATTTTTTTCAGCTTTACCTGCCATTTTAGTTCCAAGGCAGCCAATATCTGAGGATTATTCTCCATATCCTCCAGCCACCATTCAGTGTGACGATTTGAGCTCATCAGTTCCAGAAAACACATCTTTCCCCACTGGTTTGGGCCACTCAGGGCAGTCTCCAGTTCTGCCTGAATCACCTATTTCCTTGTCTCCTCATTCACACTCACAGTACAGCCCCTTAACGGGGTCATCATCAAACACACTGGAGTCCCGCCCATTACCTACCACTGAGACCCCTCCTCCTGGGTACATGAGCGAAGATGGCGATAATATGGACCACAACGACAACATGAGTATGAGTAAGTGCCTCTGTATTCACAGTACATGCTCTTCATTGTGCAAGATTCCCAATCAGTGCTTTTATTCTCTTTTGACTGTCTCATTAGAGGCTAATTGAATTGTTATGATTTTTTTAGGCCTCTCTCGCCTTAGCCCTCCAGTTGACACCCAACCAGTAATGTATTGCGAGCCTGCATTTTGGTGCTCAATCAGCTATTATGAGCTCAATACACGTGTTGGTGAGACTTTTCATGCTTCACAACCTTCTGTAACTGTTGATGGTTTTACTGGTAAGAACCTTAGCATTTTTTGAAAATTTATTATGCAAGCATATATCATCTTCATGTAGATATGTCACTTGTGTCTCTTCCTAATTTCTAGATCCCAGCAATTCAGAACGATTCTGCTTGGGTCTTTTGTCTAATGTCAACCGCAATCAAGTGGTAGAACAGACACGGCGTCACATTGGTAAAGGAGTTAGACTTTACTACATAGGTGGAGAAGTCTTTGCAGAATGTTTGAGCGACTCAAGCATTTTTGTTCAATCCCCTAATTGCAATCAACGATATGGTTGGCATCCTGCTACTGTTTGCAAAATTCCGCCCGGTAACTTGAATAATTTTACATAACTACTTTTTATCCATGTTAAAATAATTTTCAATATGTCATTGTCATTATTCATTAAAATCTATTCCATTTTTCAGCATGCAACCTCAAAATTTTCAACAATCAGGAATTTGCTGCATTGCTATCGCAGTCTGTTTCACAAGGTTTTGAGGCTGTTTATCAGCTGACTCGGATGTGTACAATTCGCATGAGTTTTGTGAAGGGATGGGGCTCAGAATACCGGTAAGAAAGATCCTAATTGATTGTTAGAAAAGAACTCAAGTAAATTAGAACTCCTCTACAGTATGGTTTTGTTATTCAGGCGACAAACGGTCACCTCAACTCCCTGCTGGATTGAATTGCACCTCAATGGACCTCTTCAGTGGCTTGACCGGGTGCTGACACAGATGGGCTCCCCTCGCCTCCCTTGCAGCTCGATGTCCTAATCTTCTTCAGTAATGACAGTTCTTTTCTAGATGTAGGCTAAACATATAGATATCACCTCCTGCTCCAACTTCTCTTTCTTCTTTTTTTCATTTTGTCAGATTATTTTAGGCTGTGGATACATCACAGGTTATATATATGCAGATCAAATGAACATTTTTCTTTTTTGATAATTTTTTTTTTTTTTTGTTAGCTCCTATGCTTCAACTTCTTTTGAGAGTTTTTAGTTTTTTTTAACCAATTGACCATGATTCTACATTTGTTTTTTTGTGGCTTATACAGTTATGATGAAACTTTCAAACACCTTCATCTTGGTAAAATATAGCGAGCTCTTTATTATCCTTCGTGGATACTCAAGTTTTTCCAGCCTTTTGCCTGAACATGCACAAAGTACATTCTCCTTTTATTTTATGGAGTATTTTATTTTAGTCTTCTCTTGCTTCATGAGCAAGTAAGTTACCTGATTATGAAATTCTCATCATCTATTATCTATCCATACAGAGATATGAATTTGTGCTTGAAGCTTACTCACCTTCAAAAGTTTCCCCTGGGGTTAGATGAATTTCACGTGTTCCTGTGTTTCTTATTCATTTTTCTCAGTCTTTATTATTGAATCTATTTTTAATTCATTATCTTATCCATTTTAAGATAGAAATATCTTTCTCCCAAAAGTACCAAAACTCTAAACCTTATAAATTATCTCTACTTTGTATTACATTAGTTTTTTGATGTGTATTATTTGCCAATCTTACATGTGCTTTGTAATTTTCGTAGATTTTTTCCCTCTAAATTCAAGATGGCTGTGAGTTAAAAGTATAGAATTTTTCGTATCCTAAGTAAGAGATTTTGTGAGACTGGCTAATGTCTTACAAGCTAAAGCCTTGTTGGTTTACCAATTTTTCTTTAGTTAAGAAAGCAGATAAGGCTGAAAAAGCTGTAAGAGGACTAAATAATTTCTTTGTTAGGATGTGAAGAAAGTTAAAAACTACATATTCATTGATAGCTTCTGTGTATTAACTGTTGTGTTAGCAAAAACCACACGGAACTCAAACTTGATGTTTTCTAAATGTAGTCCTTTTCCTTATTCATTCAACCATTTGATTAGGTTCACTTTGTGTTGTGTACTTAAGCAGTGCTTTTGTCACACTTCTGCACTTCTGTTGTGAAAAAAGTTGCTTTTATTCTATAAAATCTTTTCTAGTTGTATTCCAATTTCTGTCACATTTCTGTCACAAGATAGCAGGTTTATGAGATCTTTTTGTCTGATGATGCTGCTGCTGAAAATGGAATGCTGTCCATCTGCATGGAAATGTTACTCCACTTTGCTCTAATGTTCATAGTTTTTACTCATGGATCGATGTGCAGTGGTTCTTAAGTAAGTGCTTTGCTTAAGTGTTTTGTTTGAAGAGTTTTTCTAATGTTCTTTCTTTTTGTTTTTGAAAATGGTACTCTTTGAGTATTTTATGAACACTGGATGTAATGAGCCCTGCATTGCACTTTCTGTGTCATGATTTTTTTATGTATTTTTTTTTTAAAATATTGCTGTTGACACAGCAGTTCTATTTGTACCTATGTTTTATTTCCCTAATAATGGATGGTTCTTCTTTCTAATCTAATTAGTTGACATCTTATCAGTTTTTGTTGAGTGTGTAATCAATATTCACAATATTTTTACAATTTTGGATTACTTTACTGGAGATTTGTTCCTCTGTTTTTACTTCTCCATGTCTAAAACTAATATTCCGCTATTAGAAGCTCGAAAATGTCTTCTCCTTTCTTTCATAATTTGTTGTAAGACATTTTTTATTATCGTTCGGTGTTCTTGAGTTACTTCAATGATAAAGTAAAACATATGCTGTAATGATTTTCAAAAAAAAAGATGATGCAATTTTTTGTGGCAATGGTTTTGGTATTAACTGATGTTTGGTCATGGTTGTATTTTGCTTCAAACAATTTGTCACATTTGTGATTGATTGCAAGGCTCCTTGGGAATGAACAATTAATTAACCTGCATGCAATTCGGGCCCATACTTCAGTCCAAGTTAGTGAATGAAAAACTTTGTTTTTAATGTAATTTTAAACAAACTGTTGAAGCAAAGCATGCCTTTGCTTTCAGATGTATTTTAGATATACTGACAACTGACACTGGTTCTATTGTAAAGTGGAAATTGAGTGGTGTTTTACTGACCATCTTTCCAATAACTGTGCTGGTAGAGTGTCAGTGCTTTTTCTAAGTTATGTTTTCTTATTATTATACTAAGGTAGGGTTGTGCTTTTGAAAAAATCATTATTGAATTACATTTCTTGCTTCAGGTCCCTGTTATTGTAAGACAATAGATTCAGTGATTTGATCCTGCTGAGTTGCTATTTGTTCAACGTTATTACGCTCCTTTTTGTTTAAAACCTACATATGGTTATGATAAAATTTGTTTATAGACATTTCCTGTTTTGCTTGAATATTTTAATTATTATATCATCTGTTGCCTTCATTGTTGTTTTAAGAAGTTTCAATTACTTTTATATAGAGCAAAAGTTATATGGGAATTGTATTTTTCAAAGTCAAATTGTTTTTGCATAAATGTGTTGAGGCCCTCTGATCAAATTTTTCTGACTGGTGTTTTACAGCTGTATATACTGCTTTTCTTCTACAAGGTTCAGTAGAAGGAAAGGGCAACCAAAGATCCCTACAGTCTTTGATTTCATTTTTTATTTGTTTGAAAATCATTTAGCCTTGACACAGCTTGCTACCATCTATGTATTTATGTTATTGAGATATGGAAAGAGTCAAGATGGGACTTTGACTATAGGCTGTCATCCCAATTTCACTTGTAGCTAAGCCTGTTGCTTCTTTGTTTCTGTTTAAACAGTGTTTCCCTTCTTTTCTTTTTTTTGTTACAAATATACATCCTTTTCCTCAAGTTCAAGATTTTAATGTGTTTCATATCAATGGACTCATTCAAATTATCATTATCTAATTGTTTAAGTAGGTTGATTTAAGCTCCATTTTTCTTATTGCTTCCCACTATGTATTTCTGTATTTCCTTGCACAGCCAATGAAGTGCAGTATCCTAATACCATTTGCATGCTGTCCCTTTACTAACCAAACCTGTGAAGTTGAACACTGTATAGGTTCTAAATTTGGAAAGAGAATTCAAAACTATGTCTCCATTGATCTACTCTTGATTTTTTCTTTCCATCATTCCCTCTGCAAATGTATGGTGCTGTGGTGAAACTTGGATTAGCATTTCATGATCTGTTGCACATTCCGTTGAAAAAATCTTTGAAAAATCAATCTGAACTAACAGAAAATGTACTTGTAGAGCCCTCTGCATTCACTTGGGAAAGCACTAATTTTATACTGTTTGTTGTTGTCGCTTGATTCTAATACAAGTAAAGACTTTAGACTATTATTTGTAGAAGCAATGTTGTTTTTATCTTAGTAGATGCCTAAGGTAGTAATTCTTTAAATACAGTGTTCTTATCTTAAAGTGGTTCTTTTCTTTCAACTTACCCACAATTCCGTAAGAAAAATATAAGGAACTTTTCAGAAACAAAAAAAGCATAGTAACAATAGTATTTCTTTAATGCCTATTGACTAACAGGACACATTTTGCACATCCACAGTAGTAGATTCTAAACCCCAAAGCATAGAACACCAAAGCCACACCATTTTTGACTGTTGCTCAGACCATAAATAATTAAGAGATGTTCACCAGCAGTAATTTTAAGTTCACTTTTGGCTATCATTTCTCAGAGATGACAATACATGAGACCAAAGAAGAAAATGTTTTAATCTATCTAAAATTAATATCAGCCTAAATTTGACTCGTCTTTGCTGATCTAAGATCTTGCAGGTAAAACACAAAGCAAACAAAAATACTTTTCACACATCCTGCACTTTACTTGAAGTACTCCCACTCCCTTTTTTGTTGGACAAACGAAAGGTTTGATTTGACGTGGTAACTAAAAAGAAATGCTATACTCTATGACTTGAGGAGTGCACAAATCAAGAGTTAATAATTACCAGTATAGGTTAAAAACTGAAACAGTTCAAGCACAGTTCAACATAACCATACTTCTTAAACTCAGATTTCGAGGGAGGACCTAATAAAATTAAAACTTAAGTACGCCACAAATACTATGGAATTGAGTCAAGGTTAACAGGTACTATGTCGACTCGGTCCCATTCCCTGTACACACAATGCAGATTTCATCCTGATGCCGATTTACCTAAACAATAATAATAAAATAATTTGTGTACACATTTTTTCTGGTGCCTCACACTACTGTTCTTTAAAAATCGGTACACCATAGACATCCCCTCCCCGCCCGCCCCTCCCCCAACTCCCTTCCCTTTTAAATAGTAAAATAAAGTTCTTCTCTTGAACACAGATATAACTTTCTAAACATAGGTAGACATTTTAAACACGGATAAGGAATGTAGGTGTACTTAAGGCATAACTAGATACAAAACAAACAAAAACACAGGAAAAGCATTTTGAGAGACAAATTAAACAAAACACAATCAATAACAGGAAATTTCTTGATAGTTCAGCTACTTCTTTTTCTTCTGCATCTTCAACTTTCTCTTCTCTTCCCGTTTGCGTTCCTTCTCTACTACACTACGGTAGAGTTTCAGTCCAAAGAAAACTGTAAAAAAAAAAAAAGAAGAAACACATTAGATGTAAAAAACAATACAAGGGCAAGACATATATCACAAAATTAATTTTGTGCCACTGAGTATACTTGTTCTTTTTCACCAGCTTGATAAGCGTAACTGCTTTCATCTCAGAAATAGTGAAAGTTTGCTTCTCACAATCAGAAGTGACTTTAGAAACACAACTATTACCAGAAAACCAGTGCTCAGAATGCAGCAATCTGTCCGCAGACTTAAAAAAAAAAGCATGCAAAATTTGTTGTGTTCTTAAAAAAACACCTCTGGCTAGGGGGGAAAAAGAAAGTACGATTTGTGAGAAGGCTGATCTGAGTTTGAATAAAGTTCAACGCATTCTCTATTTCTATTTCCTTATGCAAGATTAAGGACTTAAAAAGGGAAGCAAGCAGAATTTTCTTAAGTGTTGTCGAAATTTTACTTACATAACTGAAAAAAATGTTCTATTACTGACTTCATATTAGGTATTATGGTGAGCCATTTAAATGTGTCTGAAGGTGTTGTCTATTCTGAGATAAAAGACCGTTCTGAAACAGTGCCCTGCACCAAGAACAATTCTTGCTCTTCCTACCATAGAATGTAGGTTTGTAGTAAAGAAAAATAAAGAAAAATAAGATTTCTGGCTTGAAACCTCTTGAAGAAGCACACACATATTGTTACTTATAACATATGGCAGTTTGTTAAAGATAAAAGGAAAAAAGCTTTGTCTCAGCCTACACTAAACCACAGTGAACAAAAAAAATGAACTAATATGTAGAAGAATCTCACCAAAAACAAATGCGATGATACACAGCAAAGATAAAAGAACAAATGTCTGGTTAGCAAGAAAGGAATCCGCAGGAATTTGTCCCCAACTGTTTTCCATCTCATCATCACCATATGATTCACGCATTTGTTGCTGAAGCAGCTGCGTTTTCAATGCTTCTCTATCCTCTAAAGATAAACCCTGCATCCCTTCAAGAGCTTGCAAAATCTTCTCTACAGAGGGTGCTTCAAAATTTCCATCTGCTCCAATAAAATCCTTTGGAAGTTGCACACCCTCGGAAATTTCTCCCATTCCATCCAGCATGTCTTGTGCATCACCATGACTGACACGAATTTCACTCATGATGAATTATTAAAAGTTAGTAGCTAAAGGAGGTACCTCCACAGACAACACTCTTACTAGCTACACACTCAAGAGAAGACTGCCACTTAGACCACGTCTGCCACGTAGGAGATAAGAGCCATGTCAGCAGACAACTCACCAGCCTGGTCAGCACTTATCAGCAGGCATCAAGATAGCTAAAAGCCATGTCAACAAAAAGAACAAAAAGTAACAAGATGTTAAGATGAAGGGGTAGAAAACTTAAAAGGTGATACATGATCAACAAGTTACCAGCATTTTGGTGACGCTAGACTTAAAAACTACTAGGGAACTCAACTGTCACTACCCCACCTCATTGTGTTTTTACCAGTCGTCCAATATTTTCTTGACGCACTAGATAAATGCTTGGAGCATTTTAATTGTGAATCTCCCTTAACAATTACAATACATTTTTAACTACAAAACTTGAATGCACAGCCAAAGTAAGATCCAAGCTTACACACTGCAAGTTTGGAGAATAAAGAAATGAGTCATTAAATAATAACAAAAAAAAGTAAAAAGGCTTAAGAAGAAATGCAATATTGAAGGAGACTTAAAAACTCAGAAATTTAAAAAGCTCCTTTCATGATAAAGAAGTCTCAGTGCTGCATAACATTTTAATGTGACGACATAGGACTAGTCGACAACACTAAACAAAAAACCCCACACAAACTATACAAATCCCAAATAAATAAACTTGATGCTTTTAGAATTATTTATTCAGTTGAATTACTTGAACCAGTACTGACCTGTCAATCCAATGACTACTATTGCTGGAACGATGAAAACACTATTACTGAACCCATGTTCTATGGGTCCCTCGGGCCCTCCAGACAAATCCACCATTTTTTTTCAATGAAGATTAGATGTAACAGGGAAGGGAAAATTGGTTGTAGGTTTGGTGCACTCACAATGCAAACTCTTGTGTTTCGTGACAAAAAGTTTTTAGTGTCGTGGCACGAATCAGATGTTATACGTCAAAGAGCAACACTCGCACCCTCCCACTCTAGTCGAGTCGGGACGGGAGGAGGGGCAGAACGTCAAATCGTCAAGAGAAAAAAACAACGATAAAAAAGTAGCCGTAGCAGTGCGTCATCGACCTAATACTGACAAGTCGGTATGCTTTTCGAGCGCTTAAAATGGAGTTTAAATGGAGAATTCTAAGCCAAAAAAGTTCTGTTTTCTCTTAAGTATCTATTGAACGACTTGCCCATTGTCTAGTAAGAAGAAGAAATGAAGATGGTGGCGTAGCGTAGCGCCGACCCATAACAAAGCAACATAACCTGATCAAGTTGTTCATTGAAGTACCCATGGTAGGAGATAATAACTTGAATTCTAAATAATCTGTGGTACCTTAAGTAAATTTACTTAACGCTACCATACGGTGCAGTTTTGTACATTGTTGGTTCGCGTCTTGGCTTGTTTTTTTGGTTGCGAACGCCACCATTTTCTTTAGCTGTGTTCTTTTCTTCTTCTTATTATTGGTAGTAAGGCCGTGAGGCCTTTGCGATCTACATCGTAACAGTCCGTCCGAGTCTGCTTCTGCTTTGTTTACGTTTTCACTTTGTTGTTTACGCAATATGTAATTTTCGTTGCTTCGATCGATATCTGTGTTTCGTACAAAGTCACCTCTTAGCTTTAAACTTTTAGTTCTTGTTCCATGACATATCGTACAGACTTGATATTACTTCCTCGTATGCCTAAGTGACTTCTGGAACAGTGCAGTGTGAGTCTGTGTCTATTTCTCTTGGTAAAGTTTTTAAGGGATTTCAGCTCTCAGTAGCATAGTGACCTAGGAAGAGTTTTGGGGACTTGTCCCAATTTTGTTACTTTTCCATATCCCTCTTTTCAAGTGACATTGCTTATTCTCATCGACATAAACTTAATTATTACCAGTTCTAGTATCACAATGGGTAATTTCATTGTTCGGAGATCTCTAATGGAAAATGATATGAAGTTGTAATGGTTCTCGATACATCAAGTTTTGAGTGAATCAGATCCGGTTGAGGCAAAAGTCTCATGGTATATATTACGTCATCTCTATCATAGTTATAATTTTTTTAGGAAACATTAATAATTATGTAAACTATCAAGCTTTGTTAACAGTGTAACTGTATTTAATTTGTTTCTTTGTTTCCAGTTCCAGCCAAGTTCCATAAATATGGATCCTGATAAAGAAGATGACAGCTCAGGGCCTTCAAGTCTCTCATCTGACCAAGCCTCACTTTGTGTCATTCCCGATCCTGATGATTCATCTGAAGAAGATGGTTTTATTTATTTAGATAAGAGTAGTCTTCCAGCAAGCCTCAATGCTTCTGAGCATGATAGAGCTATAGTGAGCACTTTTGTCTTAGTATTTGAATATTAAAGATTGACAATCTTTTTGTATTTTTTAAATATTTTTGGTTGCTTTTGTTGTTTTAGATTGTGTTTCATTCCATCGATGAAGAATACCCTGCTCATCAGGATATTCTGTGTCAGTATATTCGTCCTGATGGTTGGGAAGAAAGTCCCAAAGATAACATTTGCCTTTTTAGGGTGGGCTGGGTTACCAAAACGGATGCTGTTTTTATGGTTCCGCCTGGATTACCAAGTAATGACCCTGTAGGACGCATTGTTATTTCAGGTTTGTCATCTGGGCGTATGTACTTCAAAATTACTCTAAAAGAAAGGATCATCCATATTTGTAGATTTAAATTTTGCACTTTACATCCATACAGAGAGTAATTTGCCGAAAGACTCAACTAATGTTTACCAGTTTTGCTACATGCGTGAATATACATTGCTTGGGGCAAGCACACCATTTCAGTTCACATTTCCATCACATTATGGTGATGTTAATGAGAGACCCAATGCTGAAATGTCTATTGGGAAGGACTTCTCATGCAATGTCGATTCCATGGTAATAAACTAAATTTAAGTTTAATTGAGACTAGAAGAAATGAAAAGCTATCAGTGTTTCTCTCATCATGTTATCAATGGCAGGTACAGCAAAGTGCAGTAAGTCTTGAAAAGTTGGATTTGAGTTTATCATCAAAAAGGCAGGATACGTCACTACTTTATCAAGATAACTCTCTTTTTGGATCACTATCCCTTGATTCAGTCCAAAAATCTATGAGTCTTTATTTGTAAGTCAAATTTTACTGCAGTGTTCAAGGAAAATACCTGAAAATACCTCATTCCATTGGTATTTTTACCCTTTCTTTCCTCATTTTTAGGTCTGATTGCTGCAGTGAGAAATATGAAGCTTTTACTCTGATGGAATGTGCTTCAGGAAATCAGGCATTGGAATGCAGTGATACTGGAAAAGACAGTGCAAAATCAATATCTGACGACAAGGACATTTCCACTGACAGTTTGGTGGCCTTCTCAAATGAAAAAGAATCGGAAAATGACATCAAACTTCACACTTTACAAGAAGAAGTACACCAGCTGAAGCAGCAAGTTGAGGAAGTCTGCGATGAAAAAAAGGTACATATGTTACACCAAATGTGATGAAGGCACATCCTTCATTTATTTACTTTAAACTTATGTCTCTGTTAATGGCAGTGGTTTCAAGAGCAGTATAGCTCACTGCTTGAAACTGTTAAGAAATATGCAGAAGATTTGGCCACCGAGCGTTTAGCTAAAGAGTCATTAAATGGTCGTCTGGCTGAACTAACAACTGTTCACAAAATGCTTTGCTCTGAAAATGCACAACTTCATAATGAATTTAAAGTTGTGAAACAAACATACAAGGTTTGTACCTTTCTTTTCAACTTTGCTTTTTACTGGGGTGTAATTTCAATTTCCTCCCCTCCTATTAACCATATTTATTTGTATTTGTATTTATTTGTATTTAAAAAAAAACAGGACCAGTCTCTGAAATGGGAAGATGAGAAGAAAAACTTAGAAGAGCAAGTAAGTCATATAATTTCCTTTAGCTGTACTTGCCAACTTATTTTAGCCTTGAAATCGTGTCTGATTTCTCTTTATTATGTAAGGGGGATTTTGCATATTTTATGCTTAGAACTAGGTCGGTGCGTAAAAACCAAAGATTAGCAGGCTAAACCTAGGATTGACCAGGCAGTTCTTGGCATAGAATTGATATCTATTTACAGCTCCATAAGTAGTTGTCTGATAATGACCACTTCCAACAAATCATAAGTCACATTCAGTCCTAAAATAAAGCATGTTGTTTGGAGGTTTAAAATAAAAAAACAAAAACAACAACAACAAAAAAAACACTCTAGCTAGATTTTGTGTTTTTGTTTTCATGGTGAGGGTTTTATGTATTTGGTTGAAATTGTGTATTTAGATGTTCTTCTTTTTTGTAGTTAAAGGAAGAAAAATCTATGAATGAAAGTAAAATCCCAAGCCCTTCAAATTGCAGCAAGGTAAAGTCAAAAAATTATTGAGGTATATTTTTCACTTATTAGCTTCAGATTAATTTGAAAATACTGTTCTACTTTTCAGTGTGATAAATATCAGAAACAGGTTGAAGATTTAAGTACCCGTGTGTCAGGTAAAAAATTATCTTTTAGAAGTAAACTTCTTGCAGTCTGCATATCTATCTATTATCCACTGTTTAGATTTTGGGTATAGTTTTACCTAATAGTGATGGTTCATGTAATAACAATGTAAGACACTAGTTCATTCATCATCATAATTGATTCTTTCCCATCCACCATAGATTATGAAATCATGAGGAACTGCCTGGAAGTGGAGTTGGAGGAAGAAATGAAACTTAGCAAGGAAAGAGACTTGTACCTTGCTCAAGTGGAGCAAATCAAGGTGCACAGTCTGCAGATGGCCAACAATTGGCTGGCAAGTACACCAACTTCTACCGAAAATGGGAACACTTTGCTTGAAATGGAGGAGAATGTTAACAGTACCCTAGAGGCACTTGAATGTGCTTTGAAAGAAATGGACATCATGCGATCTCGCAAGGCAGCCATCAACAAAGCCAATCGTATCCTTCGAGAGGACTTTATGCAAAAGAAAGCTGAATGGGAGGACCGATTGATTAAGCAAAGAAATGTATGAAATTGTGCAGTATGAGGTAATTTTGTTGAATTATTTTAATGGCTTGCATTTATACTTTTCCCTTGCAGGAGTCTGATGCTCAACTGAATGACTTACAAATGAAATTGGACTGTAAGTTTATCTCCTTTCAGCTTAAGAAAATACGTAACTGACACAAACTTTATGCTTTTTAATTGTAATTTATTTTTCAATGCAGGTGAAAAATCTTCTAAAATTGCCTTACTTGAAGATATGGAGGTCTTAAAGAATCATCTACACCAAGCCTCTCAAAAAGAAAGTCAGCAACAAATAATTTCTGAAGCCATTGAAACAGCTAAGAAAGAAATAGAAATGTTAGAGAAACAGAGGGTAGAATTGGAGAAGGAATGTTCTATGTTGAAAAAGAAATCTGGAAACCAAGAGGTGGAGGTAAATTTTACCAAGCTACCTGTACTAAACTAAATCTTTTTAGAATTTTAACTTATTGACACCTTTTGGATTTAACCTCATCTGATTGTATTTTATTACAGGAGATTAATAGAACTCTGCTTAAGAATCTGCAAGAGGCAAGAGAAGAGTACAAAAAGCTGTATACTGAGAAAATTCTTACCCAAGAAAAGCTGTCAAAACTGAAACAGAAAATAAAGTCTAAAAAGACTTCTCGAGCCCAACAAGAATCAACTTTAAATGCACCAAAAGCTGATTTCATGGATGCTGTAAGTGCTTCTTGGAGGTATACGATAGATGAATTGATGTGATGGTGGCAAACTGCAAGGGCAGCATGGCCAGAACTACACATGCTCCGTTTTGTTCTCTTTCTAATTATTACGTTTGTTATAGTCCTTGCAGTTTTTGTTGTATCCGTTTTTGTTCTGGCACACACATTCTACCTTTTAATTGCTGTTCTAATGCGTTATGTTGAAGATGAGTCATCCATGTGGCATCCATGTGACACATTATTACCTTATCGTGATGGCTTGCCTTTATATTTGAAACAGTTACATTTTTGTATTGAAGCAAAGTTGCCAGGTTCTTCTTGGCTAAACAACGTTGAGTTGAGCTGAGGCTCGTATTTGCTTTTTCTTTTGACTTAGTGTTGGATATAGCGCTCTTTAACCATCTTCATTTTTTCTAGTTGTACTCTTAAATATTGTTGGAAAAATAATATACTAGAAGCACTGTAGTGGAATAAATTGTAGCATATTGGTTTCTTTGGTACCCTCGGCTTTCTTGTTGTTTGTACAGTAGTAAAGTCTATATCACTTTTTTTTGTTATTAACTATGGGAGCAAAGTTCTGTTCATTTATGGTAATTGCTTCCAAGTTTTATGGTATTTGAGTATATTTCGGGGGAAACTGAAGTACAGATTGTTTAATATAAATATATTCATAACTTTACAATATTTATTTTATATTTAGATAACTGTCAATTAACACTCTGAATCATTTGGCAAGTGACACTACCTTTCCATCAAGTTGAAAAAGCATCATTTGTTTATTGTGAAGAGAATAACTTGTCTTTACCCTCAAGTCTTAGTTATGCTAAACAGGGTTCTTACTAAAGTATAATATCACATGTTGCAGTTTTATTTGAGCAAAGCTGAAGTGATGTCCTCTTTACTTCTTACTTAATTACTGTAATAACAGATTGATGTAGGACAAAATGAGAAAATAAAACATAACAGGCAAAAATTATTCAGTTTGTATCTTTCCTTTTGGACATCAAACCAGTGATTGAAATCAATCAAATCAGATCTCTGATCATGCATTATTTAGGTAAGATCTTTTCAAAGAAAAATAGTTTATTGTACTAAATCTACAAAACTAGATACCTACGTTAATATGTATAGTGTATCTGTTTGTATCTAAATACCTTACAGAGTGCAATGTTAAGCTTGTAGCCCATCATTACATAGTAATAATTAAATAATGTACTAAAAATAAAATGGAAAATAAACAGTATGCATTTGCACTGTCAAATTTATCTAAAAGTAATGCCATTCAATCCCAACATTCCTCATTTGAATGACCATTATGAGCTGCAAGAGAAGGCACATTCTCCACAGGCGTGCTTTTACTGTTTTCTTTACTGTCCTTGTCACTTCTTTTTATTTGAGACTGTCTCCAGTTACCATCACTGGAGCTGTGGTTACCTTCTTTATCATCTTTAGGAGTTGATGGTCGTCTCCAATTTCCTTGACTTGCTCTTGGTTTTGTAAAGTTTTCATTGCTCCTGTCCTTGTTGGATCCATATGAATCTTCTTTCTCGAACCTATCATCATGTAGCCAGTAACTTTTACCTTTGCTTCCTTTGGTCTGATCCATTGCACAGCGAAAACTCTCTCTTTTATCCAGGATTTCACTCTTCTCCGGACTTTTCTTTGTGAGACCAATGGTAGTTTTTTTCTCAGAATCCTCTTTAACTTTGGGACGAGGAGAGATTTGGATACCAGCTATTTGTGTACCAACATCTGCATCTACAACTTTTGGCAAAATTTTATCAGAAGACTTTTCATCTGGGCTTCTAATTAGCTCCAAACATTTCAAAAGAATCTCTCCACCAGCTCCCAAGTGATCCTGCAAACAGAAGCATAGTAAGAATATCATAAGAAAGTTGATGTCTTCTAGGAAAGTGAAACCTTGCTTTACAAACCTTATTCTTGTAAAACATTTCGAGGGATGGTGAAAGTGATTGATAGTCTCCACTACTTGACATGTCCATAATAAAAAGCAGCCATAGCCGACTCTGACTGGATAAATTACGGGACATTAATGTGGAGCGAACTTTAATGAAAATATTTTGTAGCGGGCTATATAATGATAATGATGTGTGCTTTCCCTCCTTTGCTTGGGCTTCATGGAGTGTAGAGCCAAGACCCACTAGCTGTAACATGTAAATGAATCAGGGTCAAACCTACCATAGAAAAATGATTTTGTCATAAAATTGTCAAGCGTCTCAATGTACAATGACCAGTGACCTCTTATGTGCAAAAATTGTGACCTTGTAAGTCATGAAGAAATCACAATAGTGGGAAGGCAGGAAAAGTCTTACCAAATTAGCAAAAAGTTCAATCTCAGAATCATCTCCTGTTAATAGATCTTCTAGGTACTGAAAAACAGGAACTGTTAAAACTTCAAGAGTTTGGTTTTCAATACGAACACGTATGTAGATTTCAACAAGAAATGCAGCAGCATTCAAAAATTGTTCAGGTGACTTTGCTTGCATATCCAACCTGTCTACAACACAGAAACATTTGTTTTTAAAAGGTATCTACACAAAAGAATTTCTGTGCCTTAAATAGAAAACAATAGAAATCTTCTTGCCGTATAGTAAATTATAAGCGGTACTCACTTTCAAAGTCTTTCTGTAGGCACAATAGAAGGGTGTGTCTTAATTTCTGCCCACCAATTTCAAACATCCAATTGACGCACAGAAAAATAGCAGCTTTGGAGACTGCTGATTGGTTACTCAGCCAATAAATATGTAACCTTTCCACTGCATAGCTTGAGAGGGGTATAATAAAAAATTGAGGAGTACGATTTAACAATATTGCTGACAAACTGTACAAAAACAAGAGCAAGTAATATATACCTCAGAGTATCGGCATCAAGTATGGCTTCTTGACACCACTTAAGGTGAGATAGCTCCTGTGATTTACTAGAAAATTTATCACTTGTAATGTTGATGCTGTCGACCTATAGAATAATACACAAAAAATTGTGTCAATACCATAACTTTAAAAATGTAACATTCAATTGCAAATCCGTTACCTACTTGTTCAATAAGTTTGTCAACTCGCGCCCTTCCCTCTGTAGAAACAGGAGGGAGAGGAAGCTTTTCAGGAGAAGATGGTGGTGAGCGTAAGAGCCCACTCCCTCGACTTTTGTTTGAGTCCATTTCTGGTTAAGGAACTAAAAAAAATAAAATAATTAAAAACAAAACAGAGGGGGGAAAATTTACAAAAAATAATGTGAGAGGATTTAAGGAGTAGGTGTAACAACCACGACTTAAAGTATGATGCACACAGTGTGAAAAATATAACCTTCTTCAAAATAGTAAGGTTGGAGACGTGTAACTAAAGAGAACAAGTCATCACAATCAAACTGAAGAAAGTAACCTCATTACCTGTCAGTCTTGTGTCAAACTTGTTGGACGTGTACGTGTGCCTAGTTTCCGAAAGTAGAACGGTGTTACACTCTTATCTTTCTGAACTGCGTTAACCGGTTAAACCAAGTCTTTGATTCTTGTTACTACCCGCCACACTAGTGCTGAAGAAATAAGGAAATTTGTTCAAATCCCGAGATTTTGATGGTTAGAAGACTGCCTAGTACTCAAGGGGG